TAGCAGAAGAACTGTGGGGTCACCTTCACTTTGGCTGGACTGACTTTTCCTTCACTTTGCTAAGACTCAGGGTTTTCCTTGAAACTCTGGGCTATAATTAAGAGAAGAATTCTCCCTTTGCGGGGCGAGGTGGGGGGAAGAAGAATTATCTCTATTATCTCAAGTGTGTTACTGAAACCTGTACCAGTGGGTTTGCTTTATTGCATTTTCATTTTAAACTTATGACTTGCCTGTAAATCTCCCTCTTTCTGTGGAATAGAACACACAATCATTTAAATTTCTACTGCTGAAATGTTAAGTCTTATGTGGGACTTCTTTGAGGTTAATAATATAAATAACATTTTTTATAAAGTAGAAAGTGTGTCAAAAGAGTCCTTTTATTTTCTCTTCACTGAAGTTTAAATTTCTGCATTTACTTTTCTGTTGTGCATTCTTATTCCTAATATGAAATGGGAGCTAAAAGAGAGGGTATCTTGAGTATTGCCACATGGAAAATATGCTGGTTGGAACTTTATATGGAAAATGCTCAAGTAAGGGATCCCATGGCCTGAGTCTTTAATGTTAGTAACTGCTTTTCAAGGAGCAAATTCCTGTAGACACACATCTAAGAATCACTCCCAGGGGAGCCTGTGTCCAGGGCACTAAGCAGCGGAATCCTTAAATGCTCTTTGAGCTTCCAGGTTGAAAAAATGCTAATTAGCCTCCTGTAAACCATGTAGAATGGTAGATATTAAATAAAACTGTGCTTAGAAATGTGACATGGAAGGGTGGTCCCTCCCTTTGTATCCTCTCGACCTGAATTTACAGACTATGTGCTCATTAGAGACCTGAGGAGGGGCGGAGAGAGGAGGGGCAGCCAATTGAGCCTTCAGTCCAGCTGACTTAAAAAGAAGGAGACTTCGCTGTCTGTTTCCATGGTGACACCGTGGCATTGGTTGTAGGTCACACTGCTGACAGAAACCAAGCAGCCATTCTGGGTGGGCGGTGGAATTGCAAACCCAGCCAGCTCCCTCCCTCCCTCCCTCCCTCCCTGTCCATCAATTATCTGTGATCTACCTATCATCTCTGTCATCTGTCTTTGTTTTATATTAGCACAGAAACCCTCATTGTTTACTTTAGAATAGGGATCGAACATTAGCGTTCCCACTAGAAAGTTTGATTTTATGAATTTGCAGTAAGAGTCTGTGAGAGCTCATCTGCTGGACCTCTGTCTACTCAGTGCCCAATAGTTCCAGCGTTAGAAATAACTGAATTTTCTCCATGGAAAAGGACATGTCCCAGGGCATTTTCAGCCCTGATGTCTTGGACACATGGATGAACCTGGTCCCTTTGTCACAGAGCAACTCTGGTGAGTGACGCAGCAGCCAAGTGGGTCTTTCCCACTTGAAGAATGGAATCATGTTGATTTTTCTCACATGGCCACTACACAGTTAAATAACTGCCATGTTCTCCCTGATTACAAATGCAGCTTCTGCACAGTCATTTTTGAAGCCACTGTGTGACATTTGTGTTGTTGGCTTATGTGACTGAATTCATCAACACACAGTCCTGGTTTGTGAAACAGCAGGGTCAGGACTCAGTTCTGTAGGACGTGACCATGAAGCTGTCACTACCTGGTTTTGAGGATAAGCCACAAGTATGTGTTACAGAAATAAACCATCAACCCTCCAAGGCCTGGCGAGGAAAGGACCAGTGTGATTTGTGTGGAGGGAGCCCACAGGCAAGGCCAGGGGAGTGAGAAGTAGGCAGTGAGGTTGTCCCTGAATGGAGGGTGTCCAGGCAGGGCTGAGAGCTGGGCAGGCATCCAGGTGTCAAGAGTACTGATCATGCTATAAGCTAGAGGGGAAGATTCAAGGTTTGGGTTCAAGGGGCAAATTTTATACTTGGACAGTTTGTGTTTTGTTTTCAGAGCTGGGGCCCAATTTTCCTGTGTGATCAGTTGCTATAAGGATTAAGAGAGGTTATTTCAGACACACGGGCAAGGTCAGCACGCTTTTCTGTAAAGGGCCAGGAAGTAAAGGTCTCTGGCAGTGTGTTCCACTGTCTGTGCTGTGCTTGCAGGTAACATGGCCCGGTGCTGGTAAAACTATGTAAAAAACAAGCTTGAGCTGAATTTATGGTTGGGGAGACATGATGTAAAGATGGTGCATGGGATGTGGGAATTATCTGATAAGTAGTGACTTTCTGTCCCGTCTCTAGGCTTCACGAGATGATAGTGACCTGGGATTTTTTAAAACCATGTCTGGAAATTCCCATTGTGGTGATTGTTTAGCACAGTTTATCAGAGGCACTAAAGAAAACATCTGCTTGGAAGTACTCTGCCCACCTCTGATCATGGCTGTGGAACACTCGAGGCTAGGCATCTGAGCAGCGGACCCTGTCAGGTGCACACTGACGTGGTCCCCTTTAAAGAGGAGTTGTTTTGGGCCTTCCCATTGACACAGCTGGTTGAGCACCGCGTTGTGAAGCTGTCCACAGTCTCTGCAGCACAGGTTCGATTCCTGGCTGACCAGGAAGAAACCCACATGGTGAGGCAGACTTCTCCTGTCTCGCCCACTGCTCCCCTCAGCAGTGTCTTTGGGCCATCTGCCTGTTTTGTTCCCCACTCTGTCTCTAGTGAATTCTCTCACCCTCCCTTGCCTCTGACTGTACCCCTGTTCTTGTATAAATAAATAAATCTTAAAAAAAAATAAAGAGGAGTTGTTTCATGGGAGGCAAATGTTTCTTTGCCTTTAGGCCCTAAGGTCTTAACATGTGGAGCTTCCCAAAGTAGACAGTGAAGAGGTCCCTTTGAAGTTGGCTTATCCCAATACTTAAGAGAGGAAACTTGCCCCCATACTTAAATGTCCAGCTGAGAAATTTCAAAAACTTGAATTTGGGGTGTAGAACAGACTGTGAAATCGGGTTTGCTTTCCGAGGGCTTAGACTCAATTGTGCAAAGCAGTCATGAGACCAGATAGGGGCATGAGAGGAGCTGGCTGAGAAGGCAGGGCTGCTGGAAGTAAACACCAGTGACAGTGGGGCCCTCGCCCCCCACTCCCACCCCCAGTACTCAGGCAGCCACATATGAGGCCAGCATTGTATTTGTGGCTCCACAAATACACCCTCACTGGTGCTTTCCTTTTTCTGGGTCCTTGATTTCATGTTCATCGGAATATTCCCCAGGTGCAGGAAGCTGACTGTGGTTTGAATTTTTATAATCTGAGCATCATCGAAAATATATCGACAGGTTACACATTAAATGAAAACAGACTTCCCCAGTAGTTCTATTATTTTTAATTATAGCCTAAGAAGGAACTGGTGGAGAAGGGCAGTGCATCTCTCTGGGAGGCTGGTGGCAGCTGCCTTGTCTAGGGCCACCAGGGGTTCCCAGGGGCTGAGAGAAGGCCTGGGAGGGCCTTTCTGTCTTGCCATCTAAGAGCAGAAAGCACCTTTCTGTGAGCAAGAGTGGCGATCTCAGCCCATCCCCGGACTGCTTCCTTTTTCTATTCATCCCATCAAGTGGTTGTTGAAATGAAGATTCTGTGCTCTGTTCACCATTGACTACTGCACCCAACTGCAGAGCTGCTAGGCTTCTGGGTTTCATTTCTTCTGGATTTGTTTTACTGTGTTTCCTCAAAACAGCTGTTCTCTTTCTCATGAAGTCACAAGCTGTGTAGTGGGCTAAGGAAACTGGGAGGCGTATGGTAGGGCGGTGGCTTCGTAGCCAGCATCCTGATGCAGCCACACTCTCCTGTTTCCCTGCTACATCCCAGGGTGTACACGTGAGGGGTTTTTTTGGTTGTTGAGATTCGGGAGCTCTCAGTATGCTGATATGGAACAGCCTGAGTGCTGAGCGGGAATGGGTGTGGCGGGCGGGGGCTGGGCGGGGTTTCCCATTGGCGATGAGGCTCGTGTGCAGTGTCCTGCCAGCAAGTCCAGCATCAGAAATGCTCATCAGCCAGCAGCAGGACATATTTTCCATAATCTTGTTGTCTACAGTTCTGTGTTTTAAAATGAGTCGTGTGTATTGTGGGATAGGTAAGACACTGTACAGGGAGTCCTGAGTTTGTAGGATCAGTCATCAGATGCTGAGGGGGCCGTATGGTTTGGTCAAATTTGTTGAGGCTACATCCCAAAAAAAAAAAAACAAACACATTTACCAATCTGTGTATGACTCATAACTAACTGTTCATTTGTTTGTTATATTCTTATTAAAACTTGAATGTTTACCTATTCTGGGAATAGTGATTTGATCACAGTATTGGAAAAAAGTTAATGGGATTCCAAAATTACACAAAGTTGGTACTTTGTGCAGTAGGGCTTATAAATAGAAAAGATGAGGTCATAAAGGTTGTTTTGTTCCATGTAGGAAAAATGTCAATGTAGTAATGGTGAACCTTACTCTTGTATGTGAAATTAGGAATTAAAATGTTACAACCAAAGTTCACATACAAGAGTAAGTTTTAATAATAATCACCATTCTCTCAAACATTTTGGGTTTCCATGGGTCCCATGTTTTATTTACTGTTTTATTTGGTCTAAGTCACTTATTTTCAGAGAGACCCTAGCAGCTTAATGTCCTTAGGACCTACATGCCTGATGAGAAAAGATCTCATCAGTGGAGGCGTTGTTAATCAGTAAGAGCTTTGACCGACTGTCCCTTGGTCGATGCCTGCACAATACATTGTTGATTAAGCTAATGAGACTGCAGATTGGAGGGTTCTTGCTCCAACAGATGTGAATAAGATTCCAAGAAACTAATTCTGAACTCCATCTCCGCCAAAACCACCAAGGAGGGGCTGGGACAAGCATGTGCTAAGGGAAGGATGTTTATGTAACTTAAATGATGTTGATTGCTTGAGGGCAGGGCAAGTCAAGGTGAATGATGCAAGCGCTTTTCTTTTAAAATTATAATTAAGATGCCAACAGTTGTAACTGTGAACCTTCTTGGACTCCACTGAATGATCGACTCCCCCCATTGTGAGACCATTCTGAATTTTTCTTTCCTTCTCTTACAGGTGACATCACACAAAAAGGCTATGAAAAGAAGAGGTCGAAACTAATTGGAGCCTACCTGCCCCAGCCTCCGAGTACGTAAACCTTAATGACTAGCACAAATTGTCTAGTTTTGAGAGTCAGGTGCAACATAGCAAAGAAAATAGGTAAACAAATCCTGCCTTAATCCCTGATCTGTTATTGGCCATATCTGATTCCTTTGTATGGTTGCAAGTATGTTTTGTGACTTCAGAAGGAACATATGATTTTTCTGTTAATGCACCTTATAAATTTGATAGGTATTTTATCTCTAGACAGCGGTAATATGTTTGATTACTTTAAAATGCTATACTCAAAAAATATGAGCGCATTTATGACTTAAGCATGATTTGTAATTTAGTGAGTTAAAAATTATTGCTATTGATTGTGGCTTGAATTAGTGCAATTGATAAGTCTGGAAATTTAGAAAATGATATAATATCCTACCTGGGATTATAAAGTCATAAGATTGGTTGTGTTTTGAATTGTGAATGTAAAATGTTATAGGTTCTTCCCTAAAATGCAAAGTCTATCTGTGCCAGTATTTTCATAGAATCTCTGCATTTGAGGGGGTCCTATACATGCCAGGAGAAAGGACTGACCCCAGGCTGGAGTTCTAACAGCTCTTTTCTAATGAAGCTCAATTCTGTGTGAGGATGACCTTGAAATTGTCTAGACTGTAGGAATGGCCTAGAGCTAATACACGTAATGCTTTCTTCAAAGGAAAATGTTAGCATCATAAATATCAAAGATACTGCCTGAAACTCTACGGTTTTCTTTATTAAAACACATTTTTAAAGACCTGCTCGGAGGCTTCTACTAGGAAAGGTCTGATTAGCACGTGCCTCAGGCATGTCTAACCTTTGCTCCTGGCTAACGCACCTATAGTGTTGGCATTGGGAGTATCTCCTGGAGCTCACATTCTAGGAGGCTTACTTTGTGTGTTGAGTTTCTGCTGTGTTTGTAGTTGTGTTTTAATTTTGTGTGTTTTCTTTCTTTGCTCCATATTAAGAAAGTTAACAAAAAGTGGACCTGTTATATAGACCTGATATTGCTGTGGGCTGGATTTTCCTATCATCTAGCTTAGGAAACATTGTTCCATCCTAGTGAATTAAAAGTAAATCAATTTTGGGGTATGCTGACACCCGTGTGTGACCTTCAGGGGCAGACGGTGAGACGGGGTCTTCCCCTTCCTTCCCTCTCTGGTCTGCAGACAGCACCGCCAGGACATCCATCTGCCTGGGCGTCATTGGGAGTTCCTTGGTCCCCAAGTCTTGGAGAGGGCAGGGTTGACCATAGACTCCTGACACTGTTGGATTTCAGTCTCTGTGCCTTACTTGCCAAACAAAAGTAAAACAGATGCATTTCTGCTCGTTCCCAGAAGACAATCTCGAGTGACGGCAGTGCCCAGTGCTGGCCAGCCCTGCTGCGGGCACTAAGGGTGGCCCTGTGTCACCTGTTCCCTTTGGTGTCCTTTGTGCTGTTCTGCATGGGGTCGGCAGCTCTGCTCAGCGCTGTAACAAATTTAAAAAAAACTAAAGTCTGAATTAATTAGTTTTTTTTCAACTTGTTACAGCAGCGAATGGAGCTGCCGTGGTCCGGTGTAGACTGCAGCACAGTGAAGGAGCCCCACGGAGAGCGCTGCACTGTGGCAACATCGGGGTGTGCGACATCCGAGACGCCGCGGTCCGAGAGCGGGCGGCCAGCACCGCGGGAAACCGGCCTCTGTTTTACTTTCGTTTCGGTGAGCGCACTTGACTGAGATAGAGAAAGAAAGCCATGGCAGCGACATGCTTAAAACGGGGCTGCCCATCCAGTGCATTGTGAGCAGAATTGTAAGCTTGGCTTTGGGGGAACCCAGGAGGGTCCTGCACCTGAGTCCATGTTCTCCAGATGAGTTCCTGCTACTCGTAGGGCCTCAGTGCTCAGCACAGACCCCAGAACCAAAACCATCCTGCAGAGGTAGGGACAGGTCTCAGTGTTTATTGAAGTATAATATTCTGATTTTATAACCCTATTTCTGCAGTGGGGACACCACTTATAAAACTCTTGAGGAAGAATAACACATGACAGATCATATGTATTCAAAGTGTGGGTCTACTAACCTTTGTCTTACAGCCAACGACCTGGGTGAAGGATGGGCTAGGCCCCTCCCTGAGGTCTGCTCCAGAGAGGGAGCTCCAGACCTCCATCATCTTCTTATCTGCAGAGGGCAAAGTAATAAAGAGAAACTGAGCCAGTTAATCAGAGTGTGTTCTCAGAGGCAGTGTCATGTTCAGAGTTCAGGATCTCTTGAGTGGACAATATTTCAGATAAGTAGCCCATGAAGCCAGAGGTTAGCTCAGTGTACCTTCTAGAGGGTAAGAAAATAAGCATTTGTTGGTTGTAGGTTTATCTTCAGGATTCTAACTCAAACAAAATGTATTTTCTTGAAAATCATGTACAAATAAGACAACAATGAACTTGGGCCCAGGACCTCAGAGGAAGACTCCAGCCTTGCCACTCAGCTGCGGCTACTGTGTGCGCTCTCCCAGCTCTTGCTGCTGCATGCAGAAAACCTCCTCAGGGAAAGTGTGGGGGGTCCATGAGTGGGCATGGAGAAGGCGCCAGCTGTGAGGTTCTTTCACCATTCACTAAGACTCACATGCTGGGTGAAATTCGAAGGGTGCCTGCTGCAGATGCTGCTTGGTGGATCTCTGGCCGCCTCCTCCACGGCTCCCCCAGGACTCCAGCATCGGAGCAAGGGTGGGGTGCAGATTCCCGGCCAGCGTGCATCTTTGTTTGGAGCAGTTGCCCTGGCTGAGCAATCATGCATGCTATGCAATTCTGTTCCCTAGGACGCAGTAAGGTACACAGATGTTTCTAAAGCTGAGAATTCTGTCTTGACTAGCCCAGTTTTAGAAATAATTCTTTGGTATAGGATATTTATGACAAACGTCGTGTTTAGTCGTTTTTCTACCATATACTTTCTCATGGGGGGTTGTCTTTTGATGAGCTTAACTGTCTTCTCTCCCCCTCTCTCTTCTTTCTTCCTTAGTAATTTATTAGAATTCTTCCCTTCAGAAATCACCGCTGTAGGGCACCTATCACCACATCCCCCAGTCCTCCACCACAGTCCATTGTGCTTCCTTTCTGCTTTATTCCAGCCTCTTTGGATGCAGCAGTTCTACAGTCAGCTTTCAAGGGTTAGCTTTTAAGGTTGTCCTTCTCTGGTTCTTAGTTTAGTTTCTCATATTCCACGTACTAATGACACCATCTGGTATTTCTCTTTCTCCTTCTGACTTATTTTATTTAGCATTATCTCTCTTTTCCCCCTCAACATCATTTTTGTTTATCAGACAATATTAACTTCTTGCAAAAGTATTTTAAACCATTTCCAGGGTTTTGTGATTATGAGTCAGAACCATTTTTGCAGCCAGGTGCCCAGCTCTAAGTGCTGAGGCAGGAACCCCTACCTTCCCCACATCCCAGGGTGCTGGCTTCAGGAGCGGCTGTCCCTGTTATTCCTCGCTGCCCAGGGCACAAGTGACTGGCACAGATTAGCTGGCGTGACTTGGGTGCCCTTGAGACACGTGTCTTGATGAGGGCGGTGTTGAACACTCACCTAAATCTAGGTGAGAAAAAAATGTGGCTCGAAATAAAAATGAAAATTATATATTTAATGAGGGGAGGGGTCGAAGAGAATTGTTGGATCATTTTCACGGCAAGAATACTACTTGGGAGAGTTACTCATTTGGTACCAGCCCTCCAGTTTTTTGATTCTCTTAGTGTCTCTTTCAGGATCATCTTTCATTAATCTCTAAACCTGATAAAACTTGTTAAAATAGAAAATGAAGCCATTCTCTCCAAGGCATTCTTTATAAGCTGTGGCAGTTTCTATGATTGAGTCTTCACAGCTCTCGTGACAGGAAGGAAGGTAGTAAAGATCTTATGTTACCATGAATAGTAAAACTCATCTTTCACAAATGGAGCCCCTTTTCATAGCTGTATGTATATTTTCATACAGCCCGGCAGGATGGCTTCAGGCTCAATTACCAGGAGTCACGGTCACCTAATAGTGTAGAGCATCTTGGTGAGTCAGCAGTCTGGATGTCCTTGTTGCTCCCTGGGAATTGCCATGGGGTCCAGGTGAAGAGTCCACTGCAGAGAAGTTCTTGATCAGTGTGGATTTATCTGGCTGCTTTTATTTCTTCTGGAAATTACATGACCCTATACAGGAGCGAAGATGCATCTGCACCAGCTGCCCTTCCCTTCCGGACCTGAGCCTTCCTGCCAAACCTCCTGCCGTGTTCATGCTGCTCTCCATGTGAGACTTGGCCTTTTTTCCATTAAGAGCTCAACCCACATGTCACTTCTGTAAAAATTTCTCTCTAACCCTCAGGTTGGGGCAGGTCCCACCCCTATCATCACAGCACCCTATTTCAGGAATAGCTTACCAAACTGTGGACAGATGTCATTTCTACCCCCTGCCCATGTCTGCATGCTATGTGGCCCCTGATCATGTCTGTACTTCCATGTACCCTGTCAATGTCTGCAAGCCCCAAAGACTGTGTCCACATCCTCACCCCCAACATATATGAAAACTGCTCTCTAGAGGCCAAATGATCATCCCACTACACAGTTAGTAAGAATAAGACCAGAGTTTGGGCCAAGATCTTCTCAGTTTAAATCCCATATACTTTCTAATTTAAATCATATCTTTCTTGGTTTCTTTTTTTTTATTACTGTTTTAAATTTCTTTTATTTATTTTTTAATTGAAGAAACATTGGTTTACCAGTGAGGTAACAGCATTGCATGTGATTCAGAGGCATAGGGTGACACGTCCTCAGATGCATGTCACCGCACCACACCCACTACCACGGCACCCACAGTCCCCCCACATAGTCCATTGCTGCTCCTCCCCACTGTATTTCCACCTATCCCCTATGCTAGCCTCAATTTCACTGTCATTTTTCTACAGTTTGTTATTGGTTTGGCTTTGTCTGACACTTTGTTTTGTTTCTCTGTATTCCACATGTAAGTGACACCATCCAATATTTGTCTTTCCCCTTCTGACTTATTTCACTTAGCATAATCCCCTCCGGTTCCATCCATGTTATCACAAATGGCATGATTTCATCTTTTATTACAGCTGAGTGGTATTCCATTGTGTATATATGTCACATTTTTCTAATCCACGCATCTGTCCTAGGACACGTAGGTTGTTTCCATAATTTGATTATTGTAAATAGTGCTGCAGTGAACACAAGAGTCCATGTATTCCTTTTAATTAGTGATTTTGTATCCTTTAGGTAGATACCTAGGAGTGAAATTATGGGTCAGATAGTCAATCCATTTTTAATATTTTGAGAAACTTTCATACTGTTTTTCATAAGAGCTGACCAGTCTACATACCCACCAACAGTGTACAAGGATTCCTTTTTCACTATATCCTCACCAATACTTGTTGATTCTGGACTTTTTGATATAGGAAATTCTCAATTCCTGATTTATTTTAAAAATTTATTGAAGTCTAAGATTTTGAATGCATTTCTCTTACTACCTAAATATAGAAATTCTGACTGTTCTCTACCACATTAGCATCCTGAATAACAGGAGCCTTTTCTAATTGCAGGCCTCTTGGGGGCAGCGTACCCTGTGTCAGAGTGATGGGCCACTGCCCCATCTTCCTCATATTCAGAGGTTTATATGAGGATTGTTGGATTTTAGCATCTGCTTTACTGTAGCATTAATGACATCACTACTTTTATTTAATATTCTGAATTTGATTGTTGTTTAGTTGACAGAGCCATATCATTAGGAATTTCCTTTGGGAAATCTTTTTTAATCATGTGTAGGAAGTAATTGATTGAAGTTCTAATAGAAATGCTTATTTCTCTGCTTTCTCTCCCTTGGGGCTTAAACATAGTTTTCCCTCTAGCAAGGAAAGTGTTTAAAGGAATGAAAGTGTCATCAGGTGGGGTAGATGCATGGGAATAATGAATATTTCTGTTGACTGGACTCTAGAGGCATAGTGAAGATTGACTAGGAGGAAAGTGGGTGTGAGTGATTTTAGAGGGAGACTGAAGTTAGGTGAAGGTATCTGGGGCCTTGTTCTCTGGTCAAGAAAATGCAGAAAGAGGAGAATCAGAACCTGCTTGGATTGCATTAGGGTGAGCCTGGAAGTCTGGGTGGTGAGCTGCCAGCTGGGATTGGCAGGCAGCTCTGAGGGCCAGGCAAAGCCAGCACTGAGTCTGATGACTTTCTAACTTGAGGGTGAAGTATAGGGTGGCGCAGAGCAGGGTCCCAGGGGTATGGACATGGTGAGGTGAGAGGTCTCCTGGAAAGGAAGAGCACTTGTTTTCTTCCTTCCCTCCTTCCTCACCTTCATCCTACTTCACCTTCCTCTCTCTGAGTTTTATCTGTAATCCCTTCTCAGTTCTAGAGACTCACAACCCTTGCTGACCTGAATACCTAGTATTTAGGAGATGTTCTGGCTGGGGCAGAGGTGGGGTGAGAGAGATGAAGGATGGAATATCCAGACTTAGGGACACCAGGCAGCACTGAGCACAGTGGCATAAATCAGAACATACATGCTGCACAGTGGGATCAGCTCCAGCCCCAAAGGACAGACACCCCATGCAGAGTCACGTGGCAGTTGAAAGGCGCTCTCTTCTGTGAGCAGTGAAACTGCCCAGATGAAAAACCTACTGGAAACAGATCTGATGATGCCCCTACCATAGGAAGAAAAAATCCAGCATGCAGCAACTTCATAGAAATAAGATTGTAAAAGTTGATAGAGGGGAAAAGAAAATAAACATTTTACATAAGAATTATAGCATCCAAAGGACATTTAACTTCCCAAAGGACATTTAATTTCCTAACAACATTAGAGATATGAAAGGCAATTGGTAAAAGTAATCTTCCCCCAGAGTTTCAAACAAAAGCAAGTCCCTGTATAAAGGGATCCACATGGATTTTATTCCAGGATTACGGCAGGAGAGGCCGCTAAGCGAAAGAAACCTAGAAGAAAAATGGTTGCAATCTGGCCATGTTAATCAGGGAAGAAAGTATTGGGAAGAGTTTTTCCATTCTGTTAGGTATTTTGAAATGGATTAGCAATAGGCACATTGAAAACACAAATAAGGAAACCAAAAGATAGAAACATTAACTCCAGAATAATAGCAGTGTTCAATAGGAAGGTACAGGGAGCATACTGCTGACTCAGAATCCTAGTCTGGTGTCGTAGTAGCTGCAGGGGTGTAAGGAGAAGCCGTTAGATAATTGTTATCTACCATTTACCATTAGAACTGGGATTATAAGCCCTCACTGATAAGCATGAACGTCAATACCAATAGCTATTATATTCACTGTAATATTTACCACAGTATTCTTTGATTTAATTTCAGTAGCTGCAATTCTGTACATCTGCTTGATGAGAGTACAAAGTAGTTTCAAGAGCATTTTAAAAAATGGTTTGTACAGAAGAGATTTAGTAGCTCTTCAGTCATCAAGAATTGTTACTAATGATGCCAATATATATTTTAGTATGAAGAACTCCTAGAGAAAGTGGCTACAGCTTAGTTATCTTTTCATACTTCTAATACAGTAGCTTATTGTGTGGGATCCACAACATGCCATCAAAATTGAGGTGCAGAAATCACCAGAAAAAGAGGGACCTTAAATCCAATGATTCATTGTCATAGAGTTCACCACTGAAAACTAGAGACTGAACTTTTTTTCTTAAAATTATTGTCTGGTTTACTTTCTATCAAATATTACTGATCCTTTTCTCAAGAAGCAGCAGTTATTGATTAGTAATGCCAGCATTTGTGTATGTCTGAAATGTAATAATTTACCTTTCTTGGGCTTTATTTTATCTGAATTAGAATAGATAGTCACAGTTGGCAGGTTTCGGTCAGCTTTTGAACAATGCCCGTAGAGTCATTTTTTCCTTAGCAGGTTAATATTTTTGATAATTCTTCAAAGCTATGTTGAAAATCATTTTGTTCAATTATTATCAAGTGGTATAAAATTTAAGTTACAAACTTTGAATAAAGTTGGAAACATAGTCAATATTATTCAATAACTCAGATTTATTTTTAAAAGTTTATTTTTTAAAGTTTAACTTTAATGATAAATGTCCTTTTAATTTTTAAATTTTCTGGAGAATTGAGTCACTGTTTCTGTGTAAAGAAGATCATGACTTGAGTCTGTCTTGGGCTCCATTTTTCTGATCAGAACGCTGAAGATTTCTACTTCTTGTTTGTTGTTTATTTGGCATGTTTTCCCATGACATGATAGATGAATGGTGTGATGTGAGGGAGCCTGTGCTGGGCTTTCTAAAGGCTGCACTGTGGCACCCTGAATCTCCTCACCCCTGGATGATACTCCCTTTGCTGTTCTACAGCCAAGATGTCCCTGGCTCCCAATCATGCTCCCCCATTTGACTGCCCACTCCCAGTCCTGTCCTTAACTCTCCCCTCGTGTGCCTGCACCCTCATACCAAGCTCTACCATGCCTCTAGCTGTGCTGAAAGGAAAGCAGTGAGTCAGGGATTTATTCCACCAAATGTGTTGCTCTAGAGTAAAGAGCCCCAGCTGCCTACTGAAGCCTCATTCCACTTTTTGTCTTCCTAACCCAGGGGTGGATCAAGCTTTGCCTCCAGAGCGCCGTGCTCCAGTCACTCCCTCCTCTTCCTCTCGCTATCACCGCCGAAGGTCCTCAGGGTCACGAGATGAGCGCTATCGGTCAGGTAAGTCCCCAAAGGCAGACTGAGGTTCAGTGACCCTGTAGAGGCTGGCAGTGGTGAGCTGCACCTTTGGTGTGGGTCTGAAGAGCCATGTGGGGAGAATTGCAGCTAATGTACATATTCTTGAGCCACAGGTGATAACATCCTGCCTTCCACACAAAAATTCCCTCTGCAGTAAACATGAAAATTCAGCAAGAAACTCTTCTTACATTTTCAAAGGCAGTATTGTCTATTATTTAGAATTTCATAGTAATTCAAAAAGTAGTAGCGAGCCCAAGTTTGTTCATTTATTTTTAGGTGTCATTGAAGAATAGTTTGCTTTTACTTTTTTTTTTTTTTTAAATAGAGGCATGTTTTATTTATTTATTTGTTTGTTTGTTTGTTTGTTTCTTTGTTTATACATGCACTGGGTACAGTCAGAAGCACGGGAGGGTGAGAGAATTCACCAGAGCCAGAGCTGGGAGCAGAGCAGGCAGAAGGACCAAAGTACACTGCTGAGGGGAGCAGCGGGCGGCAGGAGAGGTCTGGGCGCCATGTGGGACCCTCCTCCAGTGGTTGGGGAGCAGCCGGGGATCGAACCAGCGCCGCAGAGGTCGCCGGCAGCTTCGCAACCCAGTGCTCAACCGCTGCGCCACCGGGGAGGCCCTTGCTTTTACTTTTTATAATCTTTGCTAGAATGATTTTTTTTCTTTTTTTTTAAGCCTCAATAATTATTTTAATCAAATACAGTTTTCCAAACAGAAACAAAAATATTGAGTATTTCCGGTGATCCATGTTTATATTTCCTCTATGTTTTGTGATGCTATCTTGGTAACTTTGTTTTATTACACTCGTCATCTGGATTGGACTGGCTTAAATTTCTTTAGTAATTTGGCATGAGAAAATGTGCATTGAAATTGATATTTTCATAACTTTTTGACAGATTTTTTCCAACATCCAGATTAAAGTTGCTCTTTTCTTTTCCCCTAACTATGATGTTTAAAAGAAAACTATTGGTAAGTATTATTGCTGGGTCACGTGGACTGCTGATGTAGGATCTGAATTAGAACATGTATAAGTCACTTTGTACTTTAGAGAATACTTTCTTAGGTTTTGTCTTAGTTCATGTTGTAGAAGATGAAGCTGAGGTAATTCACACCAGCATTTGGGTGGGTCAACCCTATGAGCCTATCAGCATTGTGTTCTATGAATCTTTCCATTAATAGGAACTTACATGATAAACCACCACCATTTCCCCTAGTGGTCTCCCTAACTGATCCTCTAAAGGAAGAGGGAGTAGAAAGATGTTATGCCCAGCAGCCATCATACGCACAAGCAGAGAGAATGGACTCGAAAAGGTAGAAAAAGCAGAGCACAGCCTTGCTTCTTCTGTCAGGAGGAGAATATGTGGGGATAGAATAAGGCAGGAGTGTGTTCTCAAACCCACTGTGTTTTTTCAAAGCTATTTTACTCAGCATGTATCAAGAGCTTATTTTCTTCATTCTGGCATCTTAAAGAACCTTTCAAATATTTGGGACATTAGAGGCATGCATATGTACCATCAAGTCATTGAGTTGTTTCCCTTAACTTCCTTGTCTGAAATTCTTTTTTTTTTTTTTTTAGATTTATTTATTTATACAAGAACTGGGGTACAGACCAGATGTGTGGGGGGTGAGAGGATCTACCACAGACAGAGTGGGGAGCAGAACAGGCAGACTGACTGAAACACACTGCTGAGGGGAGCAGCAGGGAGACAAGAGAGGTCCATTGCACCATGTGGGATTCTCGCTGGCCGGCCAGGATTGAATCTGCGCTGCAGAGGCTGCGGACAGCTCCACAGTGTGGCTCTCAACCACCTGTGCCACTAGGGAGGCCCGCTTATATTCTTCAAATCATTAATTCTAATAGTTTATATATGCACATACACAATCACACACAGTAGACAGACACATAGTCACACATACAGTGGACACATGCAGATAGAGACACACACATGGGTATACAGTCACAAATATAGTAGACATACACAGGTAGGCACATGCACATAGATGTAAAGGGACAATGTTGGAGAAAACGCAGCATGAAAGCAGTGGCTCAGGGGAAGAATGGAGGCTGAGTTTTGGGTTCCACGCCTAAGCTTAAAGTATAGCTTGGACCCTGCATTGAACAGTACAATCCCAACTCCATATGAGTGCCCAGTACTGAGCAGCTTGATGAACTTATTTGTTTCTATTGTAATTATCACCTCCTGGCATTCTTTCTAAATCTACCTTTCCATCCATCCATCTATCCATCCATCCATCCATCCATCCATCCATCCAGTATCTATTTACATAGTTATTATTCACCTATCTGCCTGTGTCAATGTTCTGTTTATTCAGCCAGCCATCTTTCTTCATCTGCCTAACTACCTATATCAATCATCTGTTTAGTGAATTATTAATCATCTTTCTATTCTCTTCACCAATATACCTATCATCTCTGTGCCTATTACTTACTGATCCAAACTGATGATTGATCCAAACTCTATCAATCATCTATTTATCTACCATAAGAATGTGAGCTCCACAAAGGCGAGAATATTTGTTTTGTTTTGTTTATTCATATGCACCAAACAACTAAAATACTTCCTATGTAATAGTCTTTGAAGGGGGGAAAGATGAGGCAGCATGGAGCAAAGCACATTTGGGAATATTAGGTAAAATGGTCCAGATTTTAAGGTATCTTGTATATCATGTTTAAGAATTTGACATTTATTCTGAAGATGATAAGGTATCATGTGAAGATTTTAGGCAAAGGCATGATAAACAGATTTAACATTTCAATATTATTTTGAGAGTATTGTGGCTTAGAAGTAAAGCAATTAGAAAGACACTGAATACCTGAGTATTTAGGAGATGAGTGAGACATGGGATATGTTTAGAAGATAACAGCAATAGGAACCTTAAGAAGGTGTTGATCTAGGGGTGCCCAAGAGAAAGAATCAAGGGTGACTCCTGGTATCCAGTTTGTGCAACTGTATGCATGATGGTCTCAGATTCTACCTTTAGAGAATTAAGGTTCCATTTCATAGGTTAAAGACAGTGGAATTTACCTCAGGTACTTGCTATGTAGAGAATACTATGAACTATGATGCAGACATTCCTTGAAGTGTCACGTAAAATGTAGAAAACACTATTACATGTATACTGTTTTTAAAAATTTGTAGTCCTCTCCAATTTGAATAAATAATGATTGCTTAATTTACACATGAAATAAGCATATCCATCGGACCCTTCCAGATGTATATGAAATCTTCTTCCGGTCTCATTTTCTATAACCAATGCTGGGTGCCACCCCTGTCCCTAAATGTTATGGCAGTTACCCTAAAGAAAAATTAATGAGGCTCTCAACAGACATATGAAAAAATGTTCAACATCACTTGTAATCAGGGAAATGCAAATCAAAACTACCATGAGATACCATCTTACACCAGTGAGAATGGCACATATTAAAAAAACTAGCAACAGCAAATGTTGGCGAGGTTGTGGAGAAAAAGGAACTCTTCTACACTGTTGGTGGGAGTGCAAACTGGTCCAACCACTATGGAGAGCTGTGTGGAGATTTCTGGACCTACTAAACATAGAGCTTCCATAGGATCCAGCAATTCCACTCCTAGGTATTTACCCAAAGGACACAGAAACATCAATTCCAAAGAACACCTGCACCCCTATGTTTATAGCAGCACTATTTACAATAGCTAAGCTTTGGAAACAGCCCAAATACCCAAAAATAGATGACTGGATCAAGAAGATGTGGTACATATATACCATGGAATATTACTCAGCATTCAAAAAAGATAAACACATGCAATTTGCAGCAACATGGATGGCGCTGGAAGGGATCATGCTCAGCGAAATAAGACAGAAAGAAAAAGAAAAATACTGGATGGTCTCACTCATAGCAGGAATCTAGAAAACTTAAATAAGGGACCAGGAAAATGAATAACTATAAGAAAGTGAAAATCAAAATCAACAAAAAACTATGAACCAGAGACACTTTTTGGGGGGTGGGGGCTGGGAGGGGAGGGATTGGGGTCAGAATGGGGGGTGTGCAATTGTATGGGGGAATATAAAAATAAAATTTATTATTTAAAAAAAATAAAACTATAATTTAGTGTATAAATAAAAAAAAAGAAAAATTAATGAGGCTCTATATGTCATTATTAGGACTTGTTTGGTAGTTTCACTTAGCACCTTATTCTCACATATTGCCTGCCATTAAAATTATCTAGTCATGCATTTTCTTAATTTAGATACTTTATTGATATACTATTAGCTACTTTCTCTTTGACTATATGCTCACATATTGTTTTTGAAATGTGGCATGAAAGCTTAAGAGCTTATTTTTATCTATAGTCAGGTACAAGGCTTTCTCTTGAGCCAGCATGAAAGAAAGTTGTGTGGTCCTCAGGAGATTCTGCTTTCTAAAATTCGGTGACCACTTAACTTGCAGTAGAGTTACTTTGGTTGCTTCAATGACCAAATTATATCAGCCAAGAAGTAATTCTATTATCTCTTAGATAATTGACCTAATTAACAATCAATCTAGTCAACCATATAGCCTCAAATTTAATCTCTCCTGACTCTATTTTTCCATTTCATTTCTGAACCCAAGGCCTTGTGTTGTAATGAGCTCTTACTGGAATTTTTATAATAGCATTCATCTGTCTTCTTTTTATATAACTCTCCTTGGAACCCTAAATTTGATTTGGAAATTGCATGAATGAACAGGCATTTGCTGAGTACCCTGAAGATGTTAAACTCTATATTCAGTACTTTGTTTCTTCTACCTAATAAAGTTTAAATCAGCCTCTCAAAAAATTCTAGCTATTTTTAATACTCTTTTCCCTCATCCCAAAACCCTGGAAAATAAAATCTTGATGTTTATATGTTTTCCATGCCAATCAAGTCCACTTTGACAAGGAGGAATATTAAAACTACAATGTAGCATACAATTTCATAATATGTTTAAAATTGTCTTGT